TTCTTTCTTTCTTTCTTTTTTCTTTCTTTCTTTTTTATTTCTTTCTTCCTTCCTTTCTCTCTCTCTCTCTCTCTCTCTCTCTCTCTCTTTCTTTTTGGTTTTTTGAGACAGGGTTTCTCTGTAGCATTGCACCTTTCCTGGAACTCACTTTGTAGACCAGGCTGGCCTTGGACTCACAGAGATCTGCCTGCCTCTGCCTCCTGAGTGCTGGGATTAAAGGCGTGAGCCACCACTGTCCGGCTGGTATATCACATTTTCAACATGATAAAATTTCATAAATCTCCCTAATTGTTTGTTTTTGCTGTTCTCTGTTCTCTACAGACACATAATTAAAATGGTCTTTTTGTAGTCCCATTCCAATTAAAAAATTAAAAGCAGGCTTTGGAGTTGTTGTGTGGCTCTCTCCTTCTCTAAACCCAAGCATGCTTGTTAAAGTAAAATCCAAAATCTCTGTCTCATGTTAAAACATCCACCTGATATGGAACAGAAGAAAAAACAAAATTAAAGGAATATTTTATTGCCACTAATCTCATAATCCTTTGGTTTAAAGGATTTTGACTCTTTAAAACTTTTTAAATATCAAACTTTATATATATGAATATATACAACTTTTTGTCATGATATTAATGGTCATATAGAGCACTAGCTAATTCTAGAAAAAGGCTTCATCTAGCTTCCTATACATGATTTCAGGTTTGAGTCTCTATCAGGTAATTAGGAATTAAGTTTTTGTACTCTGGATATACATCACAAATATTGATCCTTTAACCACTTTGAGATCTGTTGCATATGATATTTAAAATATTTAAGTTTTCTCCAATGAACCATGACCATACTTAACAGTGAATTTTGAAGTTTCCAAAAGGATTATGGGTCCCCACAATGATGAGTCCATTAGGACTATGATAATGTCACTAAGCTGACCAACACAACCTAAAGATTGGCTTTGAGCTACAAACTGCTCATGACAATCTCTAGGTAGCTAACTGAGAAGATTAAACCTCACAGACTACTCTAGCCAGGACTTTAGACAAGCCCTGTACTTTCCCATTACACAGAGACTGAACAACAATTGATACAGCTACCTCTCCCAGGACTTGATAGTTGACTCAGTTGATCCAAATAGCTTAAACTTAACAAATTTAGTAAAGACAAAGAGGCTAGTCATACCTTCTTAAGCCTGAAAAGATCTTGAGTAAGGAGAAACATTCTCCAAATCACTGGTTCTCAACTTTCCCAATGCTACTTCGTAACTACAGTTTTGCCATTGGTATGAATCTCAAAGCAAACATCTGGCATATAGGTATTCCTAGGCTACTCCTATAAAAAGGTTTTTTTAAACCCCCAAAGGGTTGAGACTCATGGAGTCACAAGCTGTTCCAAGCCCTTTACCTAGGTCAATGTCTTGCTGCATCACAAGAAATGAACATCTCAGTTGCTGGTGACTATCACCTGGGTGACTCTTAAATTACAAAATTTAGCTGCCAGAGCAAGGTACATTGTTGTGTATAAAAGCATTGAAGTACAGCCTTAATATTAATCAAATACCTTATTTATTAAACACATGTAGCCATCTATTTAAATTCTCTAGAAGCTTGCTGTTGAACACTTGGCAAAGACATAAGTACTTAGGTATAAATCTCTAAGTTAGCTTTTGTTAACATGAATAGATCTTTATAACCTTAGGAAAAGATAGCTGCCAGCCATGATTAGGTCATCAGCCAAGATGGAGGAAAGCCATGTGGTAGCTGTTTAAAACATGTTTTTGTAAACAATAATTACTTGCACACATATGCACAGTTGGATCCAAGTTAAATACACATAAATAAATACACAGTTAAAGCTAACTTACATTCACACATATAGAGTTACATCCAAGTCACAAACAAGTTCACATAATACACATGTATATATCTCCATTTTTAACATAATCCACAACACAGTTTACATCCCTTCTGGCCTTCTACAACCTTCTATGCACTTTAGTCCATTATATTTTAACACAGAAACTCTTACCAAAGTCTTTCTTATGGGTTACCTCAGTAGTCTAGGATCTATTGTACAGCTACAATATTTTAAACAAGAACAGAAATATATGCATATGCTGTAACAAGAATAACTAAATTCACATCAATTCACACTGTAACAATGGGAAGAATCTATTGGATCTGAATGATCAAAGCCGCCCTGGCTACAGCATTATAACTGTTGTAGCTTAGCAACCATAGACAGTGATATTCCATTCTGTTCTTGGAGCCAAACCTTGGTCAGCTTTGGCAGGCAGCCCCCAGGGCAGATTGTGGGAGCCCCACCCATCTGCATGGTAGGGGATAGGGTGCAGCATGGGTCAGATTCTCAACTACGTGAGAGCTGCAGACTGGAAGGGACTCCATGTCCCGGCAGGGCCCCTCCAGTGGAGGGCCCCTGTAGGGCACTCCTTGGCTGCGACCTCAGAGGGGCAATTCCCCACTGAGTCCCACAATGTGCTGGGTCAGGCACACTCTGAGCTATGGGAGGCCCCTGCTGGTTTCCATTTGCACCACAAAGTCTCTACCCCACAGCTGCACAGTGGCCTGGCCCTAAACCTGTATGTCTAGCCCCACAGTGCTCATGGCCTGCCTCAGCACCTATCCACTTGGCAGTGACCTGAGTCTCTCCCTGGCTGCTGCTCACCTGACATGTGGCACCACAACAGTATGCCCCAGCCCACCACTGCTTGTGCTCTAGGTCAGAGACCAAGGAAGCAATGGGGTGGGGGTGGGGGGGTAAGACTTTTAGTTTGTCTCAGTTCAACAAAAGAGACCCTCTGTCCCTTCTGCTGGCTATCCGGCCCCAAAGGGTGTCCATGTACAGTTTTTATCAGGAGTCACAACATACATACAAGCCCAGGCATAAAACATGCATTGCTTCCTTGGGAGGGAGGGACTCAGGTCTCTGATTTATGTTAATGAAAAATAAACACAGCTGGGGACAGTTACCCTTTTACCCCAAATGTATAAGGAGAGTTGTCCCTAAGACTGAGATGCAATTATGAGATTACATGTACACATAACATGGAAATGCATGGTAAATGTGGAGAATCATAGAATTATTGCATAAGAAGTTTACAAGATACAGCCATTTCATTCAAAAGGCAGGAATTCCATAATGCCTTGTGTGATGATTTCCTCTAACAGAACCCTTAGTTCTGATAGATTGACCTTCTGGACTCTAGTTGTCACTTGCTATATACTCCCATGGTCTTTTGCTACCGGTGGCTCTCAATAGTAAAGATTTTAATTAGTTTTTGGAAAATATGTAACTTGTGGTTGTGAAGTAATCATTTCTTGTGCAGAAATCTTTCGATTAGGAGGTATAAAGAAGGTAAGAAAAAAATAAGAGATAGAAAAGGTGTAGAAGGAAAAACAGCAGGAAAGAAGAACAGAAGGGAATGATCAGGGAAAAAATAGGAGAACTAGATTTGGTAGAAAATTTAAAAGAAAAACAACAGGGTAAAAGAAAAGAACAGAGAGAAAACAGAGAACAATCAAGAAATAGAAAAAATGAAATGAAGAGTCGAGCTTTGGCCCTCAGATAAGGTTCCCATGTGTGTCTATACATCTGTCCAATAGTTCACCTATCCACATCTCCTCTCCCTTTTTCTGACCTGATGAGAGCCTGTTGGTCAGTGGGCCCCTCAGTGGCAAAACCACAGTCATATAAATCAAATAAATTGGTTCTGAATGTTAATCATGAGTTGCTTTGTATCATCTCACTGCTCCCACAGGCCATTGGTTAAACATTGAACAGATTCTAGGAATTAGGCCCTGCCCCCACCCCACCCCCATTTCAATCATGCATATCTAGGAGATAATTTATACACCACCTGCACAATCAGAAGAGTGTGAAGAACAATGAGTTTCAAACAGCAGTGCGTGGAACTCAATGATGGACACATCATGCCTGTACTGGGCTATGGCACTGCTCAAAATCCAGAGGTAACAAAAGATGGAGGATTAGGAATCGAGAGTCTCAAAAGAAAATTGATCTATGATATGTGGGAGCTGAACTTTCCTTTATCATCTCTGATTTTTAGTTTCTGCTAGCTGGGACTATTTCATGTTAAGAATGAAAATAGCTAGAACATGCCCTAACAGGGTCTGATTATGCTGTTGGTGATTGTTCTGGGCACTGTATTTTCCCTATTTTAGTTCATTTGCTAGCCTAATTCTAAAGATGAAAGTCAATACTCCGCATTGCCTCACAGCTTCCTTGACTTGATACTAATAAAATTGGGAGTCATTTCTCTGTTTATTTCTACAATTCAGTATATATTTCTTCCTTGCTTTCAGTAAGGAAAAAACACTAGAAAATAGATGTGTCAAAAGTTACTGGAAATGTAAAACATATAATAATTGGTAGAGGAATACTTCTGTTCTGCAGGGAAGCCTTCAACAACTCCCAGTAAATGCTGGAATTGAGATAAGTAGAATTTTCTATGCAATACTGACAAGTGTGGGAAATTCACATGATTGTAAAATATAAAACCTAGGGAAGCTTTAACCTTATGGAAGCTGCTATGAACTATTTGCTCTTGCAGTGATAAAGATGATATTGTGACATGAAGTATACAAAGTAGAGAACTTAGTAGCCTAGAAGCAAGTAAATAGTCTAAAGTCTTTCTTAGACTGCTCAACTGTATAAATTTGGACAAGTTAACTGAATTTCATGTCCATACTCATATATCTTGCATAATTATGAGTATTAATGGACAACTTAATTGTTTTGAAGTAACCAATAGTGCAAAGGGCAGAATGGAATGAAGTGTTCTATTAAAGTTTCACCTTGATGAGTCCTTTATCAAACTAAGAAAGTCAGACTGGTGTTGGGAGAAGAGCATGGAAATCATCATCTTTTCATTGTACTTTTATTGAGAAAAGAAAGTTTCTAAAATCATTAAACTATGGGCATGAATGTATTAGATTTTTGCTTTACCCCTAAGATGTGAACTTTTAAGCCATTATTCAAATGCAAAGAAAAGGCAATAATTTAAAATTCTACCTTAGACCGGTCTCTGTAAAAAATGAATTTGTGCTTTAAGTGGTTACAGACACAGCAAAAATTCCTTACACAATAAGGATAATTTCACATTTCTAAACATGAATTCATGGGTTATAAATTTTCCCACCAGTGATTTTTTTTGGTGACACAGACTAATGGTTTATGTTCCTAAAATTTAAAATATCACTGCAGCATCAGTTCAAGTCCTCTTATCAATCTTACTTATTAACATTTAGTTTTTGTTTTCAATGTTATAACTACTGAGAATATTAACTGTGTCTTGACTGCCTCTACTAGCAGTGAATATGTGTATCTGATTTTCTTTGGACGAGTAAAATATTGTGTGTGGTAGCATAGGAGTGAAGATAATCAATGCTTGGAGAAATTTTAGGGCATGATTTAAGAGATTTTCTTGTAGATACATTTCTCATGCATTGTCATATTTCAACTCTGGTGAAATGAAAATTCTGTGTCTTTCTTCTAAGAATTCTCATAGAAACTCCTTGGAAGAATTCTCATAGAAATCTGTACCACATTACTCCCATACTTCATTCTAGGAAAATTTCCACTCACTAATTTTAGTTTGTAATACTACTACATCAATAATGCAAGAATGGGCAACATGACTCAGTGAAGAAAAGTATTTGCAGGCAAGTCTGAAGACCAGAGTTCTAGCCCTAGGATCTACATGGTAAAAAGAACCAACTGCAAATTGTTCTCTGATCCCCACAAGTACTCTTAGTTCACTATCCTCTTCACACACTTACATTCACACATGCACACGTGTGCACCAGAGAGAGAGAGAGAGAGAGAGAGAGAGAGAGAGAGAGAG